GCAATAGTGTCTCAAAAAGACTAACAAAGCATCAGCTAAGTTGGCAACTCCCTTATCTACCTGGTCGATGTAGCGTCGCAAACGGGCATGAGGTTACCTAACTTGTTTATAAAGAGTTTGAGGAAGCCTTAGTTAGTGGTTTGTACCTCTGCTAATCTGTATGGGTGTGAGGATACAAACATACCTTCTCTTAGTAGTAGGCAAAAATCGGTTAACCTCCGTGATTATTGGAATTCGGCTGTTCGTGCAAAACTTTCTCCGGATGCATGAGCAACTGAATATTGAGCGCATTTTGCAACTATTATCTCGGATGTGGTGCGAAGCTGGGTGAAATTCAATCCATTTACAGTATGTTAGTCAAGAATACATACACCACTAAGCTAACAAGGTGAAAATACTTCATAAGTACCCAATGTCAGGAATTAGACCACCGGCCGACTTCATCGCAATCACGACTGTACTGACCACAGCGAAATTTTACTTCAGGTGTTGGAGCAACGTCACGTACATGGGTGACCCACTCCTAGTGTTCTTCCACATCAAAAATGTCTTCAATTTGGTGGATCGATGTGCCTTTTTGGGCTGCCTGACTTGGAAAGATGTGCCCGAGGAATACGTAAATGCATCAGTGCACTGCGAGCGCGGTTCGGGCAGAGAGAGGGCCTGTGACAAGCTATCGCAGCGCAACTATATCACTTGTGGCATGAGACAAGGAAGCCCACAGCCAACCTTACAACTTCGCTACTGACGAGGTCATGGAAATTTGATCTACCGGAAGAGAATACGAGGGTGTAGAGTTGCTTTTAGATGACCAACTTCTCGAGTTGATGTATGTCGGCGATATTGCCCTTATTTGTGACAGCACACAAACGTGCCAAGCAGCACTGGACTGAATAGCGTTAGCTGCCAGTAGGTATGCACTATGTGGCATTCTCCAAATGCAAAATTATCTTTCGGGATTAGGCAGGAACATCCACTACGTTTGTCCTTGGTAGGGATCAGTTAGAGATAGTTGAGGAAACCACCCACATAGGCACATATATCAACGCCTGGGGAATTGAAGATGATGTTACAAACGGTATATCAAAGAATTGATACGATCTTGCTAATTTTCGCCATTTATTGCGCCAGCGCTGCTTTCGCATCTCGGCTCACGGGTCATGTTAAAACGACGTGAGTAATGAGCATGTGCGGCGTCCTGTTTATGTCACAGGAAGTGCAAGTGAACCGCTTGGTACCGTCATTTAACGCTCCAGTCTTCGATGGCTGGGCCACATGGTACGTATGCCAGACATGGACTTCTGCGAAGTGAGTTGTTTGCGCGATCCGGATGAGGGTTGAAGAAAAACAGAGGAGGTCACCCGATAAATTGCTCGAGAGGAATGAAAAATTTCTCTTCTACCTTAGCCTCGGTTGGTACCTCTGCACTCCCTGATTGAGATTCGAAAGGAGATGGACAAGCTAGAGCTTACAAACTTGTTATGAAGAACAGCCTAACTCATTGGCGTTTGCATTGAGTTTCTCGGTCCTTACCTGTCCCCCTCATCAACCCCTGATCATGATTGCAGCATCAAACGATAATTTAGAGCATATTATTTTAGAACTGCTTTGTTTAGCCATTGTTGCTTTCGTATTATTTTTTACGCCCACCTAATTTAAACGCATAATAGCTGAGGTGTTACATCCTTTTAGCGTGTATAGTGATGACGATGGTCACCGCACCAGGCGATTTATGTTTGACCTTTCTGAAGCTGTCTCTCGGCAAGTGTTTAGTATCCTGGTAGATGGTTGACCAACAGTAGTAAACACGTGTCAACGCCTTTATTCGTTTTACACTTCGGGTGTGCATCAAGCAACCATCTCGGCAAACGGAGCTGGTGAGACCGCGCAAACCAGGAAATAGATAGTCGTCCAAAGGTTTAGCTCATTTCTTTGCGAGCCAAACAAATTCAACCCATCTGTGTTCTTAAGTCATCCGATCATTAAGAATAACCTCTGTCGAGAGTACCTTGTCCTGATGTCGCATCTCCCAATTAGAATCAGTGCATTTAAAGGTGCTGCATTAGGGGACGTGTCAGATTGTACCACGATGCCGCAGGAGCAGACTAAACGGGTTGTCCACAATAACATTCAATCCGTTTACATTTCGGAGCTTGTAGTTACAGACGCATAAAGTAGTGAATCATCAAGAGTATGCAATATACGTGACTAGAAGCGTCCGCGGTGCGAAGTTGCTTGTGAGATCAACTTGAAGCGATCAGAGTAGGGAAATGGGCAAAGCAGGTTTGATAGCCCGTCAACATGGCTCCGCTGATTGCTTGACATTTGGATAGAGTTTAACGGAATCATAGAATCTCATTGGTGGTTATAAGCAGTATCAGCCTAGATATGCATATAAAAACGACTAACGGACCAATGCTACAGCCACTCTTTTCTGAAGAAGCTCATGTCTTGAAGAACCGAGATTTGGACAACGTATACGTTTGCATTCGGAGCGACGAGATATGTTGAGCTAGTCGATTAGCAACGAAAGAAATAGCCTATGGTCTAGGTGGATGTCGAATTGCTGCCCTCAGCCTATTGGTGGAAATACTTGATCTCGAGGATAATGTCCGATGCCCTTTTGTACAGCTGGGAGGAATGCCATCCAGGTAGTTGCAATGCGCTGGAAGAAAAACCATCAGAGATAACATAGCAGCCATCCGTCAGGTGGTAAGTGGCTGCACCTACTCCACTTAGGGATGGATCGCAATGCAACACTGCAGGCCGGCTGGGATCAAAGTGTGTAAGAAATGAAGCAGTGCGGAGTGCTCCCATGGCATCTTCAAAGATCTAACTCTGGTCTGGAACTAAGATTCAGATTTACCTTGTGTAAAGTTCGCACAGAAGTACGCACGTTGTAGAGGCATGAAATGAGAAACGACGATATGTGTAAGCATCCACGAAAATGAGCGAAGTTCGGACCCATTTTTAGATTAAGAGGCTAGTGGAATAGCTTTAATTTAATCAGCCAACAAAATATGACTAAGAATGCCCACAGCTCCATCCTGAAACACCTAGTACACAGTGGGCAATAAATACAAACGAAAGATGCATTCAAAATAGTGTGAGTTGCATCAAAACGTAGCATAAAAGGACTCGGAAAATGCCTAGTGACCACGGCAAAGTAACTGCGACCAAGTTGCTGAAGCAGGAAGTGTGTAAACATTGGGTACTTGTGCAAAGCTAAACCCCACAGTGACCATAGCCTGGTTAGTCGACTTCAGGCAGATTGGTCAATGGTGGTGGACTTAAATGGATCATTATTGCGATTGTTCCTCCGGTCGAAGGGTACACGACAAGTCGCGGCATCATTACAAATAGATCGTATTCCAATGGTTATGCATCTCATAACCATAGTTGCCTGAGGAGATATGTCAAAAAGAAATTTCTTCACAATTCCTCGTTTGACATCTAACAGGGATCATACATTTTGTTCGAAACGATAAATCAGCTATCGATTGGATCGCGAGAAAATATGTTCTCACACTCCTTTCCTTCCAGTCCATTCAGCTAGAGACGCTGAGGTACAAGTGGATAGCATCATCAGATGACCAGTAAAAATGTGTCCGCTAGCCAGGATATGGTTCGGATCTGCGCAAGTGAGAAAATTCAGAAATGATATTACAAAACACCAACGCGGTCGAAATAAGTCGAGACAGTGATTGATAGCATTGGAATGGGCTCAAGTGGGTTCCTATCATAGGGTATGCACGGGAGGCCGAGTTTAATTCAACTTGCAGGCGTGACTTAGATCGATCTGCATGGAAGTATGTCGGTCGATTAGCGTAGCATAAAGGTCTGGTACTCGGGACAAAGGACACTTATCCACAACTAATTAACGATTAGTTTATAGTTGCCACAAATTCATACAGAACCGTCCGGTTTCAGGACAGAAGTTATAAACGCTATACGCCCTTTCTATTGCACGCGTAAGATAGAACCTGGTGGGTGTCACCTATTTAGTTCGACTTCAGCTGTAGATCTCAGGTAGTGAATACTGCGTACCACGCTCCAGCATTATAATGTTGCATTTTGTGAAATGTTTTCTGGCACCAAGCGTGTTGCAGTTAACATGTGCGTTAATACATGTCGCAATATTTTAGATATTTTTGGGGTAGAATTGTTAGCCACCTTGATGGCACGTTCAAAAATGAAATTCATTATCCATATTACTTTACACCAAGTTAAAATTAGTTAGCTAGTTTTAAGACCTACGAAATCGTCGTTTAGTAGCCGTGAGCCATGTGTATAGATACCGACGTAGTACAACGGGGATAACCTCATGCTACGGCATCCGCCTAGATACCTCGATCTCTCACCGCACCCACCAATGAAGAGGTTGATGTGATCCTTAGCCTTTCACATACGCAGTCTAATCGCGTGGTGCCATTTATTCAAAATTCGCCGCACAACCGAGGGCCACGCCATCAGGGCGCGCTCCATGAAACTCCAGCTTCGTTCCCTCTTCAGTCCAAACTCGGTATATAGCAGTAAACTGGGTTATAATGTTTCGCTACCCAAACACAGTAGTTCACGGTATAACCCACATTAATTCTGTTCGGAAGATCACATTGAATGTTTCACAAAGACAAGTTTTCTGCATGCTCTTCGTTCTCAGCTCAAACGAGGAAACCCAACGGCCGCAACTCGTGGATGATTGATTTCATAAACAATGAACTCGGTAGAAGTCCATCTAATAAAAAATGCTACGACAACTATCTCACAAACTGCGTCAATCTACGTGTAAGCATTGAAGACATCGCAATGGCGTGAACCATGCACCCTACAGCTGTAGCTGAGGCATTTGCGCGTTTACTGATGGTAGATGATACAAGAAATTGTTGAACGCGCGAACAAAAAGGATGAAATCGCGTCTTGCGAAAAGCCGATCAGCGCAATCTTTTTTATCTGGCAATCTGGTGGAACTGGGCGCTAGAGGAGTTGAATTTGACAGAGTCGTTCATGATCTATCCGCTCGTGAAAGCAAGTGAATGTACGTATGGGAAGATCCTAATGCATCCCATGGATAGCAATTTGCACGCCATTATGAAACCTCTGAAACTGCAGTCAATTGGATTCAGAGCAGAAAAGGTATTTATCGAAACGCAAGATAAATGAAGACTGGAAATGATTGTCACAGAAAAGCTGTATCAATAACCGCGTGGGAGTATTTTGAATATCAGTTTAAGGACATGTCATGAGAAAAGGTAGAAGGGGTTTTCAGGAGACGTCACCGGAGTTTGCGGTAGTGGTCCCGTCGTAATTAGTAGTATTCATGTCAGTTATACCAAGATCATCGTTTTCTTCAGGCGTCCGCTCGTAGTCAATAACTTCCAGCTCAGGATCCGGATCAGGGGCGTACAAATTCTGCGAGAAAACAGATAATGCACAAAGGATATAGGCACTTGGTGAAACAGACACAAACAAAAGGCTTGGAATAAACCATATATATATATATATATATATATATATATATATATATATATATATATATATATATATATTATATATATATATATATATATATATATATATATATATATATATAATGGTATGCGCACTACTGATGATGCCCAACAGAATGAAACTGCAGTCTAGTACTTTGCAGAACATGTGGACTGTCTGATTTGGAAACTAGCTACAAAGAAACTCACTTATTATAGTAATGGTAGTTGTGCCATCTACACATACCACAGCATAACAGCAATCTAACCTGACTAATTAGTCTTCAATGGTTTTGAAGGCTCGCTATGATTGACAATTTCGGCCTGTGATTTTCTACTGGGCAACATTTAGAGACATTCTGATGCCATCTTCCATAAATCTCCACTGTTAATGATTGCCACTAATGCTATTTCTAGTACTGCACACACCACAAAGCCTTCTCCTGAAGTTTCATACTGCCAAATAGAAAATCGATGTCCCATATGCCAACAACCATTGGCGAACTTGCGGAAGTAATCCAAGATGTCTGTATCAATGGTTGGATTCAACAGGTTAGCAGCCTACAATATTTGATCCGATTTTTACCATAGGCATTGCATCTGTTCATGCATTAGTTGGTGACTTACTAGCAGATTGTGATCACAATACATTGTACTGCAATAAGGAGGCCAAGCCCCAGCTCCACCTCATTGAACGGAGCACAACTGACGAGCTGATCAGGACCGCCTTGGGACCGATTCATCGCCATAGCCACAGGCAAATTTGAGAAAAGTATTATCACACGTACAGACATTCTACCGCCCACGCTGCAGGTAAACACAAATCTCTTCAATGGCCGATCCAAGAACTGCTGCAAGGCCGCTTCCAAATCAAAGAAGTTGAGATCAGTGCCTCACAAAAATGATGACCAGGTTACATAAATTCAAATATATAAAATCTTAGTAAGTTGGAATTAAAAAAACCTGGCAGTTTGGAATCACCAAAGAAAACCAAGTGCTTAAAAACTCCGAAGAGACTCGAACCTTGGTGCGGTCGCCAGAAAAATCCAAAACGACAGCGAGAGATTCCAACCATACTTTTAGAAGCTGGTATGACAACGGATGACAAAATCCAAATATGCGAATCTCTGAACGCCTGTATCTCAGTCTCGTTCAGTGTCGCACCATCTGTATTATGTCTTCTAGTCCCAAGAAGAACGGAAGAGATAAGCTGCAACATTTCTGTGAGCATGAAGGACGTGTAAGTGACTAGCAGGTCCATCAAAAGGACACTCCAACGGGAGCCCGATGGCGTTCTCCTTGCAGCTATAAAGTTTGCGGCCCCACCTCATGCTGAATATCTTTTCACTATCTTTAAACACTGGCTGCTTCCAAGCAGTGGAAAAACCCCTTGATTACACTGAAACACAAAGGCGGTGCACGATATTAGTCCGCTAACAATCAGTCGATAAACCATACCTTCGCCGTAACAAGGGCCTTAGAGAGGATCGCCTATAACAGTGTTACACAACTCCTGAAAGGCTAAACCTGCTAAACAGTTAGTGAAACGGGTCTGTTACAAAACGCTCTTCTGTCACATACCAACCAATTTTTAATCTTGTCATGTTAACAATCGTCGGCGACTTGGCGACTAACATAAACATCCCCATCACGCTTTTTGATGTACAAAAGAGGCAATCGCTCGGAACCCGCCAACTATCGCCCAGTGGTCCTACTCCGTGTGTTCTCAAAGGTGATGGAAGCAATCATCGCTGAGGCTATAGTAGACTATCTAGAACGCCACAAGATCATAACACCCGAGCAACAACGTTTCCGCAAACAACGTTCATGCAGTATCAACCTACTGACTACACGCAGTAGTTGAACGGAAGCGGCCGATGAAGGCAGAGAGACAGATGTCAATTACCTCGACTTCTCCAAAACCTCCGACCGACTGGACCACCGCATTCTGCTTCACAGATTCGAAAGCTATGGAGTTGGATATCCACTTCGTGGATGGATCAGGAAGTTCCTTCAGGATCGACAATTGCAGGTCAGAGTACGAAGTGCGCTGTCCGATCCGATTTAGGTCGAATGTGGAGTTCTACAAGGATCAGTACTGGGGCCGCGTCTGTTTCTCGTGTACATTAAGGAGCATACGCGTTCGACTGCTTCAGATTTTTTGATGTTCGCTGACAATGTGAAGATGTGGCGGATGACTGCTGACCCAGCAGATCACCATGCACTTCAGCCAGACCTGGACAGAGCATATGGCTGGTCACTCCACAACCTGTTCCATTTTAATACAGAGAAGTGTAAGGTGGTTCACCATCGCCACCAGCGGAACATCACATACAAGCTTGGTGATCATGTCCTGCAAGCAGTCAAGCAGGAGCGCGACCTTGGGCTGATCTGGGCTACTCAGAACAATCCGAGAAGGCGTCCAAAACCGGGAACCAACGAGTTGGCGTGCCGCGGAGGGCACTTCGACGGTTTGATCTGTTTGTCTGTTCTCAGTTGCGACCTCATGTGAAATAGGCAATCCAAGCGTGGCAGACCTGGCACAAACAAGATCACGTACTGCTCGAGACTTCACAGCGACGAGGCACAAAACACGTCAAAGGGTTGTTCAATGTTCCTTAACAACTTTGACCGAGGGCCCTAAAATTATACAGCGGCCGGTACCGGCGCCTACATGGCGACCTTATTATGGCCTACTAGATTCTGTAGAACCCTAACCACGTCTGCTGCCAACTAATACAATTGAGCCACAACACGAATTTGTGGTGGGGCCATTAGTACAAGTTAGCCGCGCAATACAGTCAATTAGAATGTCAACGGAACTTTTAATCTCTTCGTGTGTGCCAGCTATGGAACGCCTTTCCACAATACGCTGTTTCGGCCTCCACCACTTTAAATGTGTTTAAAAAGCGCATTGATGCTGCACTAACTCACCTACACTACAAGATATAGCCTGTGTGCCTCGACAGAGGACATAATGTGACGAAAGTTGAACAATCAGAATTAACCTACATGACTGAGATTGGTCCCTTTTGTACGCCTCTGCGTGAACACAGTAGTGAGTCCACCGAAAGGATTTTCATTTCATCCCTATGTCTTCTATTCACCGTATTGTGATGCGCGTTCTGCCTATCCTAAGGGACTTGCTAAGTATCTTCTTTTTCCCTGTAATATACCATTGTTCCACCGTAAAAAGCGTTGGTTGTGTACCGCACAAACCGGGGTTGGCCGTACTTGACTCCTGTGGGACGGGCAAACCTGTACTGTGCTGGTTACAATCATCCTTGAACGACCGAGTACAAATCGAAATGGTGCTACGCCCAGAAATCTTAATAACGGTGCCCCTCAGATGGAGTATACTGCGTCTGTTGTCTTTTCTTTGTTAAACAAACAAGGTTTGTGACCGTACGAGAGACGGATGCACATTTTTAGTTGCGAGTGACATCAAAGTAGTGCGCTCATTCCCACCTGACCATCTGGATATATTCTCAAATATCCATCATCCTAGGACAAACGGAGCGAAAGCAGTCCTATAATGATTGGAAGGCCATCACAAGTTGTGTGATTGGATTGCAACGCGCAACCTCAATGTGGAACGTGACTCACATTAAGTGAAACCTTGGTCAATGCGATCACTGGAAAGCAGATGGTAATTGGTTGTGCAGTGTTTTCTGGCGGCAACATCCAATTTCCAGTTACAGATTTTCCGTGGAAAAAGGCAATATGCTATGCAAGAGATGCTGTATAGCGGAAAGACCCATCTGTCATACGGAAGCCCCCATCCCAATCGCATACTCTGTTCGAGACCTGGGCTTTTGATACTCTAGCAATTTTAACTACCCTGAACATATCCTACATCAAGCAGCGAAAGTGAGACAGCTAGCAAATTATATCACCATGTCATTTCCGATATCCTAAACGCGACATGAAGCATTCTAACTCATAGCGTGGCATACACTAGGGTAGTGCATCATCATGTATAATAAATTACACAAAACAGGAAGAATTGTTTTGGAAAACGTCCATCGCTGATTCAGCAAAAGTAGCCTGGGGCGTTCATCAACGTTCAACTATGAGGAACAATGTCGTCACTTCCGGGTAGGGCCAAATTGGCTCTGACGACGGAAAAGCAACCTCAATCGTCCCTACAGCGGCATTCATTTTCGAGCCCTCCTGAACATCAGGAGTACGCCGTACCGACGCTTCGCTGCCATGCAGCCACCGTCAGTCGCACGTAGGTTAAGGATACTGCGAAGGTCGCTCGGTTCCCTACACAGGGTTGGATCCGTGAAGTCGGAGTTGCAAAGTAAACATCTTGTCCTTTTGGCAGCGGACCGAGTTTCAAGCCTAGTTAACCATCAGCTTACGAAATGCTTCAACATAACCCACTCGTAATGGGAAATACATGGTATCCTAAAAAGACCCATCAAAATAATAGCTTAGATTTCCTCCTAGTGAGGTACGTCTATCGATGAGATAAATTAACGCTACGATTAGGGACAAACGAGTAATTATCCACATTTAGAAACGTTTCCTCATGTGATAGATGTGAAGCTCTTCGGTCTTCAACAACGTACAGATGTACTCATGCAACCCGGCCCAGAAACACACATGACAGCTAGATTTCCAACCAGGTTCTTATCACGTATTCCACAAACCGTTACTTCAGTGATTCACAGTGAATTCAAAGTTCCCAAAAGAAATGTATTAAAAAGCCGGGCTGAGTTGAACTATCTGCTCATTATAAAGCATGATGGATCTAGCTACGGTGTGTAGTGGAGAATATAGATGAGGATAGCCTACCTGCACGTAGCTGTTGCCTGCTGGGTCCTTTAGTTCGAAAGACACACCCAGGCGTTTACCGGAAGCGATCTAAACGGAAAAAGTGTTTTAGGATAATGAGATAAAATTAGTCATCATCATCATTATCATCAATGCCCGTTAGCTGAGAGTGAGAAACACACCAAAGATAATGTGCCGCAAAACAAAATGAACACAGTATAAAAAATTCAAAAAGTGAGTAATATAATGTCATAGTTATATTTATATATAACGCATATTAGATTTGAAATTGTGATTGGAGGGGGAATCTAAAGAAGGGATGGACAAAGAAACGCACAACACGAGCGCCATTGGGGCCGGCTCTTCGCTATACCCACAAGCATGTTCGTTGTCCTTGGGACCCCGGCGCGGCGGTCGGCATGTACCAACCGACGCCGACTTCGAAGTGAAGGCCTGCAATCCTCTGGACCAAGTCACTGCTTGGCCTTCCCACCACGTCATCTAAGCGCACCCCCGGTGCGCACAGTACACGACGCAGGAGTCGGTGGGCTGGCATGTGCAGCCGTGGTCCAGCCATCGGAGCCTGCTGAGTGATATCATGACACTGAGCGGTTCACTCGCCCTTCTTGCACCAAATACGCGACGCCGGAACATGTAATTAATGCTCCTAAACTATCCCTTTTCAAAAAACACCTTGACGATACTCTGTCACATTTACACTACGTGCTATAGCTCATGACCACCAGATGCTGGCACTAATACACAACAGACAGTGGACGGTGCCATAACCCTACTCGAGAATAAGTCGCTCCAAACCCCTTGCACACAATTTGATAAACGCTACTACTGTGGAAACTGAATTTCTGTATCCCGTCGACCCGAGATAGGTGCACACGAGTAAGCGTTGTCCTTGCTATTTTTTAATTTTTCTCCCGCATATTACGTGATCAATAACTACTCACCTTATTGCTCTGCATGCGCACATTCTAATTTCAAACTCCCTTTATACGGCAGTGCAGATAAATCTGTAATCGCCCGAACCGACGGTTCCATTATCCCTTGATCTATATTTTCTCACCCAAACCATCCTATGGGACATGTCACGCACCTGCATTTTTACCTGTTATAAATCAGTGTTAATTGCTCACGCAGTGCTCCCACCAGACATGAGCTAAGCTGCAAAGGCAGCGATGGTCAAACGTAGTTAGCCTCTTTATGTCTGTCAACCTTATGGGCCAGATAAAATTAGTAATGGAACCATTGTTGTTACATACGACAGAAACTCACCAATTTTAGTTGTTCAATGATAAAAGCCAGCTTCTTAGCCTTTTCATCCTGAGGCGTACTGTCTCCAAGCAAAAATGGCCCAACGTTGGCAAGCTGCAGACAAGAAATGAGATTTTCGGTTACTTCGAGTCTAAATAGGATGAATAATGTGAAATCTTGTGCATACATGGAACTCCCCAGAGAAAGTGTACGATATGAGACAGGCAGCACAGTGACTTTCATCCATAAGCGTGAAATGCTCTGGATCGGGGACTCACAAAGGAGCCATCGAAATGTGAGCAGAAGAAAGTAACCAACGCACGTGCGATGGCCTGTTAGTCAGCTTGGATTAGTGGAAGGTAAACAGTCAACCATGTGAAATAGTGGCGGGCACAAAACTTCAATGCTATTAAGAGAAGTGGCCGGATTAAACTGACAGCTTTCCACCCTTGTCAAATATTAACAACCACCGGTATTACCGAGTAAAACAGTATAGGCACGTGATAAGCAAAGGTGAACCAACACGTTGGTCTCGTACAGAGGGGGTTCGGGAGGTCTGAGTCCCCATCTTCCTCCAAATGCTCAATGCTGAGGCTCAATGTGAGGCCTCATGTGGAGTTCGCGGTTCACGCCTGGCATCCCTGATTAAAAGGCGAGCTGGTTGCACTGGATGCCGCATAGCGAAGGGTAACAAAAATGTGAAGGGACTGCTCCACCTGCCCTAGCAGCTGCGACTAGAAACTTTAGGAGTCTAGAGCGGAAGTTATCACCGTATACGGGTGGCATCATTCTGGTGTGTCAGACCTCTGAATACTGAATACTGTATTATAGAGCAAGTAGAAATGGATTCTGTACAACTCTTTCGAAATATGGCGAAAAACGTTATAAAATGGCCAACCGTGAATATCATTGTCGTTCTCATGTAATATTTAAAATATTTGACTTACGATATTTCAGGATTTACAAATGTGATATGTCATCGTAAGTGTGCAGTCGTTCTCTGAAGCGAATAGAGGCAAAATACAAATCTAACAACGTTTTGAACTGCTGCACAGATGTTGCCTCAATCACATGTTCGGGCAAACTACTCCAAATGTTTACCACTCTCCGTTCGAAGCACAGTGGGTGGGGAACACGTTTCATATCCGGCACAACAAGTTTGTATCTGTGTCCGCGTGTGCTGCATGGCCCTCGTAAGTGCAGCATTGGCCTTAGCATTGAGAAGTCACCGAGATGTAGAATTCGGTAGGTCATAATGAGGTCGACTCGCACCCGACGGTAGGACAAGGTGTAGAGTCCTAGTTTCTCGCACCGGTCTTCATACCCAAAGCCACGTAAACTCGGGATCAGCCTGGTAGCAACGTGCTGGACCCGTTCGATCTTTTGTGCCTCGCCTCGGGTAATCGGAAAGTAGGCGGGCGAACCGTACTCTAGCATTGGTCTAATGATAGAAGAGAACAGGCGAGTGGCAACCTCTTCAGACCATGTGCCGAAGCTACGTTTGAGCGCCCAAAGCATGCGCAGTCCGTTCCGATATAACCTGTTCGTGTTGTCAACGGACTTCAAATCGTAGCGTGAGAGTACACCTACGTCCTTCACGGAGGGTGTGGGATATAGCGTTTGGCCGACAAGGGTGTAGGTCCGGCCGTCTACACCCTTCCCCAGGCTCATAAATACCGACTTGGCTGGGTTGACCGGGAGAAGAACTTCTGCAGACCATGTGGATAAGCGGTTGAGATCTTGCTGAAGTAGGCCACAGTCATCGGGAGCGTCGATTTCTCTCCAAATCTTCATGTCGTCCGCAAACAAGGCACACGGCGACCGGAGAAGCTGCGGTAGATCATTGATGTGGATCAGGAACAGAGTGGGCCCCAGCACAGTGCCTTGAGGCACGCCACTTGTAGAGGGGTGCCAGTCAGTTAGATGGTCGTCGACCTGTACTCTCCACTTTCGTCCAACAAGAAAGTCGCTGATCCACCGGTGCAGTAAGCCACCGACGCCACACATGCTGAGTTTGTGAAGGAGAACCTCATGGCTGACCTTGTCGAACGCTTTACTGAAATCGATGAATATCACGTCGACGGACTTCCCCTTGTTTACTGCCTTCAACCACTCATGCCTCGTCACAAGCAGGTTAGTAATGCATGAGCGACCTTGCATAAAACCGTGCTGTGCAGGCGTCAGGACCTCGTTTGACTGTAGCAACTGCAGCAATCTCTTCTTCACGATTTTCTCAGCAACCTTTGCCAAAATAGGTGTCAGACAAATTGGCCTCGAAAAACTCCGGTCATGCTTGCCGCCACCTCCTGAAACTTACCCGCAGCACGAAATTGAGTGGTCACAAGCTGAAACTGGCTAGGCAATACAGTTGGCTGGAATGCCGCCAGAACCATTTTTCTCCTCGAATCGGTCATCCCTGGAACGCGCTTTCGACTTCTGTCATTGCTGCGCTCAAGCTATGAGTTGTTAAAAAACGACTCGATGGTGCAGTACACCACCAGCATTACTTGATTTGATTGCTATTCACTTAGTGTGACAACAGGACACAGGCAAACAGTACGCTCTCCAGCTCCCATGAAATCGGCGTAAACGGATATATATATGCGTGTATAAACGAATACACATGTGCGTTAACCAACATAACTTGACTAAAAGTGGATTTACACTATATACTACAAATACTGCGGTGAGTCCACCGGTGCGAACCTAAATTCGTTGACATTTTTTCTATATACTGTATTATCACCATGATTATCCTGCGGGACTTCAGTATTGTTACACGTATCCGTGAGCATGAAGTTAAACAAATCACCTGGTACGAAAAAACTCTCTGCAGCCGTCCTCAAGAAGTGTATGGAGTACCTGGTAGAGCTTTTCACTGAATTGTACCCAGTGTACTCCATGCAAAACAAAACAGCGGACAACTGACTGGCGCTAGCATAACACCGGTACTAAATAAAGGAACGTGGAAATATCGGCTAATGGCCTGTGAGCCGATTGATTTGAAGATACTAACGCATATTTGCTTGGGATAAGTGGATTGCAGACCAGCTCCCAAGAACGTGACTTTGGTGTGATCATACAGAGCGACCTCAACTGTTCAAAACAGGCTGAGGTAGCTGCAAAAAGAGGCAATCAGTCATCAACTGTTACATGATGCTGTCGATCCTACAGTTCAATACAGAGGACAGAGTGGATATTCAGAGGTACGACTTGTGGTTGACCACCAGTTTTGCAGCTTTAAACAAAAGCTCGGAGCTTTCAGCATATTTTATCAGGCGGATATCACAGGCACATTGGGCATCGTCGCCTGGGTTCATCCCAGCGTTTGATGCTCGAAACCTTCCTGCTCATCCCGTCCTTTTGTTGTTCAACTCCGTCATTTTAAACAGCGATGATACGAGAAGCAAATTACGGTGGATCTGGTTGCTCTTACCCACATCGTCTGGATGATAAGGATAATTGGCGATATTGGCGAAAAATAAAGTTAAAAATGCAGCAAGAACCTGAGGCAGGTTGGAAAAGAAAGAAGAAAATGCATCTATTTTGTATGCTAGTGCAAGGAAATGTAAAGAAATGTTAGCATAAAGGAACTTTCAGACTATTGAGTTTCTAATGTCGCTTCCATTTTTCTTATCGAATCAAATTAAGCCAAGAATCTGATTCCTGCACACAAGAAAAGTAATTATTCCGCGTCAATACACGCCCCAAACAAGGAAAACCAATGATTTATAATATTACATGAGGATTGTTATCAAATTACAGCTCTTTAAAGTAGCTGACAGAGCTAATATCACTGAAGTACTTTGCCCGCCAGTTTTCTATCGATTAAATTGTGGTTGGACTTTAAACAGAAATAACATTAATAATAATACATATATTTCCCGATTGCACGAGGAGCTGTCCCTGGATTGTGGACAGGTCATGGGTGCAATAATTATCATGCTCATGCATGAGTGTGATGTGTATTCTGGGGTGTGGCTAACATATGCCATAAAATTTGTACAATCTCTGGCAGACACGAGCTTTTCAAAATACTTACACTTCTTGTCTTTGAATACAGCAGCATCATCTATGGGAACATGCGTATGGGTGACGGGAAAACTTTGGAAAACCTGCAAAGATCATACACTAACCGCTTGTTCAGTAAATCAACCATCTTGAATTATCAGGACCGCTGCCAGCAGCTTAAGCTCGAACCCTTTTGGTTGCGACATCTAAATCATAACCTGATGCTGATCCACAATCCCATAAACCAAAAGACATGCTCCATTCTGTGTTCACTGAAAATTCAACATAACTTCACTCGGAATATACGTAACGATACCAATGTACAGGTCTTGTTGCGTATATTCCGAGTGAAGTTATGTTGAATTTTCAGTGAACACAGATTGGAGTATGTATTTTGGTTTATGAGATTGTGGATCAGCATCAGGTTATGTTTCCGATGTCACAACCAAAAGGGTTCGAGCTTAAGCTGCTGGCAGCGATCCTGATAATTCAAGGTGGTTGATTTACTGAACAAGCGTTTAGTGAATGATCTTTGCAGGTTTTCCAAAGTTTTCCTGTCACCCATACGCATGTTCCCATAGATGATGCTGCAGTATTCAAGGACAGGAAGTGTAAGTATTTTGAAAAGCTCGAGTCTGGCAGAGGTTGTATAAATGTAATGGCATATGTTAGACACAGATGGTTTGGCACGTGTTTTTCGAAACTCAAGTTGCTCTGAGAAATAAAAGTTTGAAAAGAATCGTGTGCCAAGATCATAGTTGCATAGTTTCACACAGATACGTTCATTGTTCAGTATAACAGACTCTTCAGGGATAAAACAACCGTTTGATATCATACATGATTTAGTAGCGGAGAAATTTAACATCCATGTGCTGCATCATTAAAAATTGTATCGACGTTTCTTGAACCAGCAAAACCTCCAAGGATAACGCCTCCGCAAACAGTTGTGATCGACAGAAACAAAAATCTTAGAGTCAAGACAACATTGCTTATACGATGGTGCTCGAGTAACTCGCAAACAGGAAAAGTGATAATTGCAATCTCTACCGGGGCAGAAACCAAGTTCACTTTCAATGATTTATTTGTTGAGAGGTTCATTGAAT